AATGTACTCCCTATTGTTTAGCAGGTAAATAAGATATGATTTAAGGGGGCAAAAGTAGTAATTATAAGCAAGTTCAAAATTTCATGGTTTTTCTCTATTTTGAAAATAAATTAGCTGAATTCATTCTCCTTTGCATCCTTTATAACACTGCAGCTTTCATTTCTGCATTAAAATTGTCAAAACTCCAGAATTCTAACATGAAGTTGTGTATAAACCAATGGAGCAAACAACCATCTTCCCTCTTGTGATGTCACGCGTGACCACACCCACATTTGCTAAATACAGGATGCAGAAATGAGGAAGTAAATTATGCATTTTAAAAGCAGTTTTTCTCCAGGAAAGAGCAATTATTTTGCACCAAAAGTATTTTTGCAAGTCATTCTACACCATAATGAAAATATTTTTGATTTTTAATCACAACCCAATTTTTCGTGTCGGTTGCCCTTTAATTAGTAACTCTTTAAAATAATGCTTGGATGGGAGTATAGCTGGTTGTTTAGAACTATAAGACAGCTCTGCATTCTTCAATCTGCTTCCACAAAGACAAATATTCTCCTCATCTTCCATACTCAGAAATTTGTTTTGACAATCACAAACCCACATACTGTCTACATTCAGTTGCCATGGCAACATGAGACTTGCTTCTGTATATACAGAATTTTTTAAATATCAATGAACTTGAATACAAAATCAGTAACTTTACAAAGTTTGTCAAAGTACTGTACCTTCATGCATCTATAATGCTTGAGAAATTGTACACGTGAACAAAAATTCACAGTGTCACTCCCATATTTATTATATCACTCAGTAACAGGCTAATCCTCCAACTTGCTAGGTCTACAGAACCAAAGTGCATCATTATTCAGTTCTGTAGTAGTCACTCCTCTTGTTTGGAGGTCTGCGGATTGACCTTCCTATGGCTATACTTCCACTGCTCAACAGGAACAAGAGTCATCTCTTTCACCTTCCCCACAAAAGGCTTACGTTTTTTTACTGTACAGCGGGTAATTTTAGTTGGGATTTCATTGGGTGATTTTGGCATTTTGACGGCCATTTGCCAAAATAAAAGTAAGGCACTTTGAGCAATTACACATATACATAATTGCACGTGGCCACAAATTCACCAATCTTAAAAATCCACCATTCACCAAAATTCAACAATTCGCCCAATTTCAGCACCTCCAAAATTACCCGCTATACTTTACTTCCAACACAAAGCCACTTGAGAATCTGTATGGGAAGTAGCCACATAGGCCATGGAACCAGTGAGCTAGGGGGGCCATGGCCCCCCAAACTTATTGGTAATCATCACCTGAAGATGAAATCAAAGAATGTAGACTTATTGCTACAAAATGTATTTTTTTGCAGTTGGAGTGTATTGAACTATATACAATATTACTGTGGTCAATTTTAATTAGTCCTTGTGTGAGTAAAAAATTATGCATTAATAAATTATTTTGCGTGGCCGCCACTATGAAACATTTTCCACAGGCTATGAGCTAGTTAAATCATTCTTAAGTGCTTTAGAAATACTCTTAATCAATCCAGCAAGCAGCAAAGTTCCCAGTCCTGGCACTGTCACTGCACTCAAAGGAGCTACTGTAGTCTTTAAAGTTAAAAGCATCATTCTTCCTCCATCAATCTGTAAAGCACGAACTGCCACATACACCGGCATTGACACAATAGTAATACCACATAGTCTAACTGGCTATTCTCAAACATTACTTGGGTACACATATTACCTCACTTTTTCTCAGAGCACATAACAAATTACTCCCTTGAAGCAACAGATCTTCAGTATTAATATCATCCCTGCCAATTTTGGAGTGATGTAGTTATTGATATATGCGACCTAATATGAGAAAACTAGGCTATTTGCAAAAATTATCAAGCTTCGCGACAGTGGTACCTTCCTAAAACTGAGATTTTGTCACAAATGTATCATATAAAGAGTTTACTTTCATTTGATACCAAGTTTGCCTATAAATAAGTTTTAAAAAGGTAGTTTACCGGTGTTTCTTTTTTTGTGCATCATGTAAATAATGGACAAGATACGAATAAATTGGCTGTAACTCAGTTACATCTGTTCAGACTTCTTTTTTCAAAAAATATAACTCAGGACTAGATGTGTCAAATAACATATATGAAGAGAGAGAAACTTTGCTTAGTATAGAAAAGCATAAATTTTCATTTTCAATTTTGGAGCGCTTAGCCTGGTTTTCTCATATCAAGTCAAACATTGTCCTTACTTAATACATACTGAAGATACAAATCCAAGTGGGTCAAATGTACTACTACCAATGCTAATTATCTCTGTCATAGTTACACTACATTTATTCACACTACTTCACTCAACGCAATAGTAAACTCATCGTGAATAACATCCTACCGTAATCCCAAAACTGTCTGCTCCCCCAGTGGGAAATCTTCATCTGCTGCTGAAGCAGCATTAAAACAAATTTCTAAAATTAAATCCCCTGACACTAAAATCGTCTTACACTCTTCATAGCTTCACAGTGATCACTCATACAACGAACAACATCACCAACAAACACAGAATTATTATGGACTATGGTCAATGGACTATCACTACAGACTACAGACTCTACACCATGGACTATGGACAATGGACTATGGACATGCTATTCACAATAAAAATGAAAATATAAACATTCAGAGAAACATCAAGCAACTATAGTAGCTGAATACTTCTTTACAAGATCCTTACCATGGCATTAAGGAAACGAGCTGCATGCTATGCCAAATGTGACTCTAGCAAAACGCAATTCTCATCTTTTGACAAAAATCTCATAACATGTCTATCCTGCGCAGCAACAGCTACCTTTAAGAGTGCTTTTTCAATATCAGCAGTGAAGGAATATTTGCTTAGTCTGAATCTCATTAAAATATCAATAATATCCTGCGTCCCAAGTGTAAACATTCATTAAAAAAACCCAAATGTCTTTGTGCATGCATCAAATTCTACTCTGACTATAGCAGTTTGCTTCTTGCATCGAATTGACCGCATGATAAGAAAGATAATGTGCCCAGTCTCTTCACAAACTAAGTTAGAATCTCTGACAACCTCTCCAATTCCTTTCGCAATCTGCTCTGTAATAACTCGATTATACCCTTCAAACAACACTGGTTGCTCTCTCAATCTACACAATAACCCATTTAGTCTCCAAGACTGAAATGATAGTTGTCTGGCAATAATCTGAACGTATCTCTCCAAAGTAGAATCACCTGGTACCACTTTCTGTTAAAAGTAACACTGGCCTTGAATTGATCATATAAGGAGTTTCACTGCTCTGCAATCACAAAAAGTCAAGCTCCCAGAACTTTTTCAGTTATTCATTTAATCCAGTCTTTCCTAATATGCTCGGAGCTTCTGTCATCGAAGTGTAAGTTACAGGAGCTGTAGAGTAACAAAGACTGGTCCAGATGGAATCCAGGCAGCAATAGGGCGTTCTTTACCCTTGATAACGTGCCTAGTAATAAAACTTCAGTACAACTTCAAAACTACGAAAACATTCAAATTAGTTTCTCCATCCACTGTTGAATCAGCCAACTCAAGATCTGCTAAATGAGGATAGGCTCTAAAACTCTTCTGGGAAATATTACAGCCAGACAAAGGCTCACTAATTATGAGAACAGTAAGCAGAGACAACTTATGCACTATCTTCTTTTTACTCTCTATTCCCAATTTCACAACAATACTGCACTAAATTACTATGACTACCAAATAATGCAATAAGAATACTATGTTTCCCTATTGGCTTCAACACTAAACTAGTGCATGCACTCTCAGTAAATAGGTGTACTGACTCGAACAATCAAATGCATTCTCATATTTACATGACATTCTCTCTGAAACAATTAGCTTTTGCAGTCTAAAGGCTGGTTTACATAATGACGCATGGTCTTGTGTTGCGACAGGAAGTGCTATATAAATGAATGGCAGGGTGCGTCAATGCGTCAAAATAGATTGCAAGCCTATTCTGACATTTTGACGTGCATCCCCATTTGTTTCTACAGCACTTCCGGTCGCAACGCAAGTGCACGAAAGGCAATCCGTTTTTATGTAAACCAGCCTTTACTCTAGCTTGTTTTCAAAAAAGGGATTATAATGACAAAAAATACATTTTATGGTTTTAAAAGAGCCATAACATGAACATAGTAAAATTATCTATACAATAGAAAACAGAATTATTAAGAGGAAACATTAGGCTTCTTGATGCATTAATTCCACTTGCATAGGAACACTTGTCAGGGCCGTAGCCAGGAACCTGAAATAGGGGGTGCGGAAATTGCTGCGCGCTTCGCGCGCAGCGAAATTTTTTTGACAAAAAATGGGCGTGGTTGGTAGGCGTGGTCTTAATTTACGCATCTCAGCCATGTGCTGACTCAGCTAAAATGGCTATCTGTGCTTCTCGCTGTTGCCAAAATGCTAATCCTGCTTTTGCAGTGCTGTTCTTCATGACAGGAGCTAATCTAAAACTTTTTTGCAGCTACAACAGGGGGTTCGTCCGAACCCCCCGAACCCCCCCTGGCTACGGGCCTGCTAACTCGTAAATGGCAAGCCTTCCAGAATTCACTAAACCAATCGTCACGATCAGGTAAACGATAAGGCTCTCGGTTATCAAATGACGGTTTGCTATCTCCAACTGGCACCACGAGGATCCTTTCCACTATATCTCTCGTTACTCCGACCTTATTTATGAAAAACTTGTGAAGGTTGTCTTTCCATATCTTTACACGACCTTCAAATCTTTTCTTTTTAAGAACGTTCCAGCTCTCTGTATCATTGAAATCAGGCTCGGGCCCTTTATCCTCATCTCTTTCATCGCGCCTTCCAACATTTTCAGTGTTAGCAAATGTAAGAACAAGAACAGCATACTCCCAGAACCTCTGTCCAAATGCAGCTGTTAGCTTTAGAATGGCACATCTGTCTTCTTCTTTTAAACGGTTGTTGGTCATTTTAGTACAATAAAGAACTAAACTGAGGTTTTGACATTTCTTCTTCATATCTGCTATGTACTTATCTTCATTTTCTGTAGAGTCTTGTAGGCCAGGTGAATCAAACACAGTGACTGGTACACCATGGAGTACTGCTTTGTACTCTGCAACTTGTGTTGTGCATCTCTCAGTACCAGCTCCCTCTACAGCAACCTCTTCCCCCAAGATTCCATTGACTAGTGTGGACTTCCCTTCTCCTGTCTTCCCTGTGACTAGTAGCCTCAGCTCTTTGTGATCATCTCTTGCCAAAGATGCCTTTATGAATGATTCAAATCTTGATAATCCTGACATGGTCGCTATCTGTTGGCACAGCTTGACTTCTATATCTCAGTGTATATATATATATACATTATGGTAGTGGCACCACTAATTTATGATGGCACCACTCATGCAGAAGATCTATAGCGCGGTGGTACCACCACTGATTATGTGGTGTGATACGATAGGTGTAGGTGCTATAAACTATTTTTGAATAATTCCCTTTGATGATAATGAGAAACACGACTCTATGAGGAACATACGGTGCATAGTATTAACCTGTGATTAAAATAAATGGAAACATTGAAATTTTATTATAGACTACGATATGTAACTGGGATGAAATCAAGATTGGAAACTGATGACATCATTTGCACAGAATGTGTGATTATGTATTTTGTGCCATTAAGTGGCAGTATTGGAAACTAAACTTACATGCAAATTCAATTATTAATTCCTATCCATACAATGACTCATCCAGTTTTTTCAGTACTTACTTTAGGTGGGCTGACAGGTACCATTGGGTTACAAAGGAAGGAGTGAGAGTCTTCATAAACCTCACGTCTTTTTGAAGGAGAGCCTGAAGTAATGGCGTCAGCATCTTCCTCCATTTTTTCATCTAAAAATAAACAAAAATATAAAGTCGAATTTTTC